TAACCACCACAGTCGCTGCTCAGAGGTATATGTATAGGTCCTCAGTCAGGAAAAGGGGGCTGATAAATTTTTCCCGATTTTTTTTTCTCACCCAGATAAACATTACTACCCCCAGGTGGTACTACCATTTATTTCAAAGCTGGTGCTTTCATATCCTTTAATTAAAAAATCCCAGAGGAAAGCGTTACTTTGTGCAATGAATAAACGCTGGATGATTTGGACAATAAAAATGGAGTTGGAAAGTATAACTGCAATAAAAGAGGATTTTGAAATTGAGAGTTTTAACGTTGGAATCATTTGTCAAGCAAAACAGTCGCCGACAGATTTAGTGGCCGTAAAGGAAGTCAGCTTGCCATGTTCAGAGAATACTAGCAATGCAGGATATCACGTATGGTGCAAAAACTGACGATGTTGTCGTGTGTATTTGTCAACCCTCTGTTCTAGGCCATGCGATTTCCAACTCACATGTTCATGCCACTACAGCGTGCGTAGAGCGGGCCTCAGGAGATAGCGTTCGTTATTAGGCGAACTTGTTCACCAGTGTGAAGAAAGTGGTGAATTTTCGGGAAAGAAACTTAGCCTTGAAAATCTATTGAAGGAAACTCGAGACTTGCCCGCCATTATGCTGCAAAGGACTTTGTGAACCTATTCACTGTACAGTTTACCTTGATTGTTGTTTTAAGATCTATTTTTAGAATATCTGTACACACAGGCACGTCGGTTGTTCTAACACTGTATATATAACGTACATGTACAATTATGTACATGTACAGTACTAAAGTTCATAGCCGCACTATTTGTGCTTTTTGAGCTGATAGTGCGTAGGCTACCGCGAAATGTAACAGACTTGAATCAAGACTACTTCGAAATTTGTACAGTGATAAAATCTTGGGCAAAAACAAGGCGAGGCCTATACTGCAGAGTCATTGGTGTGCATGGCTATACCTTAATTGTCGAGCGATCCCAGTTGCCAAAATGCCTTTGCAGGCGAAAATTCCAGCCGGCATGGGCGAGGTCTGCCTACAGGGCGTGTGGTGGCCCGATTTTGTGAGCGAGCAGGCCTTGGAGGCCATTAAGAATTTCGATGTGAGAGATAATGACGTGTGGATCGCAACGTGGCCGAAAGCAGGTAGGAACCCCCTTCATAATTTATAGTACAAGAACTCTTCCTTGTAATTATTTTTGCACGTGCCTTGAACTATTAAGCTAAGGCGTTAAAGGAATGTGTTTGCAGGGAATAATTTCAACCAAATTAAAACCTATTATCATTATCCAAATCTGCTTTGAGTAGTCTCCCTATAGGCCTAAGCCTTTTGCGAGTTAAATTTGAATAAAACCTGGTACACCGACTTCTTTAAATTCACGTGAACAAAAAGATTCGAAATCTTCATACTAAAGACACTGTTGTCATACCTCATAATTCTGGGCAAGCTTTTCCTTAGTTACACAAGAGACACCTCGCACCAATTCTCTGTTTTCAATGGATAAGAAAGACACAAAGGAACCAGTCCATTCCAGATATGGTGGTCGCTATGCCAAAGTTTGCCTAGAATCACGACGTATAGCAACAGCGTAGTCTGGGGAATTAAAATTCTTATGTTAATGTGCAATCACACTCGGTATACCAGATTTTATTCAAATTGAACTCGCAAAAGGCTTGTTTTGTTTCAGCGTCCCGACTAACGCTTTTCAAAGTCTTCATTCCGGTGCAGTCTACAACGTGGCATCCTGAATATCCCACTAAGGGTAGGCCTGAACAAGTGTATATTGTGTGCTCATATTCTGTAAGAGCTGATAATATGGAGATTGCACACGTGACCTGACTACCCACCGCCTTTGCTTTTCAAGCAAAATTCCGCTTTCAAAGCGTACCGGTAATATATTACAGAAGGCATGCGAATACGTAATAGGCTCAAGATATCATGTGGCGGTCGTAAGGTGAAAGGGTATTAGGTTGAGTTGGCTGCCGTGGCACAGTGAGTAAGAGTAAGAAGTGTCCGTAGTTTGGAGGGTATTTCAAATCTGCTTCCTGCTAGAAAGATTAACGATTAAAGGTAATTTAATCAAGTTTTCACTCATTAGTTTAGTTTACAACGCTCATTTTAAAACTTGTTTTAGACTTCAGCGTCATATAGTAACTTGGAGTGCACATCACGTGCAACAATGACATGCTTGGAACATAGCATTTTGCTTTAAATTGTTCAATTGACAATTTGGGTATTCAGATCGGTTGGGTCTACGACTTGAGGCAAAAGAAAACTGGAGGAGCCTATACATGGCACAAGCTAGTACGTGTTTACAACCTTTGCACTAAACCTCTATTGGTAAGATATCACTGACCATCATAGCACACTTCTGTATCTGTATACCACAGTTGAGTTGCTTGATGCCTATTCTAATGTCGGGAATTGGTCTTTTGCTCTCTTTGTACGTTGCCTAGTTCAAAAAATCCGAAGGCGTCTTCTGTGCCAGAATTCAGTAGGGAATTTGTAAGGAGAAAAATTTACAGAAATGTAGTTCTTTTGAAAGTACAGTTTAGTTGTTGGGTTTTTACAATTTTCAGGTACTCATTGGGTTGCTGAAATCTGTCACCTTATCTTTAATCATGGCGATGTGGATGAGGTTGATAGAGCGCAGCAGCCGATGCCGTTGGAGTTTGACGTCATCCCTGGTGAGAACAGAATCGCCCGCTACAAGGCTGCGCCATCTTGGAAGTCACCTCGCGTTCTGGTCACCCACGTCCCCAAGAGATTTCTCCCTAACCAGTTGCTCGGGGGCAAAGGAAAGGTCTGTGTGTACGAGGTTGATTAGCATAGAGAGCACTGAAACGTGGTTGTGTATATAGCTTGTTCGGATGTTTCGGATTTCACCGCACGATCAAAATGTTATTCCCTCTAGTGATCTAATGCTGTTGGCTCCGAGTCTCGCTTGGCGCCCATAAACCTTTGGGCCTTCAAGTGTCGTGGAGCCTTCATTCAAATTTCCCCAGGGGCTGGTGAAAATGCTACAACCCAAACGAATTCCGCTTTCACTGCTTTGCCAATAACATGATCTTTTGTTTAAATTTCCAGCAACTAAAAAAAATTATACTGTTAAACTACAGCGTTTTCGGGTGACACGAGAAAGTTACCGCTTGTCAAAGTTGAATGCCTGGCAAAAAGTAACAATGTTTGCTTCATGATTCAGGTGATCTCTGTCATCCGTAATCTCAAGGACTCGCTGGTTTCCTATTACCACTTTCTCAAAGGGAACCGGGTAAACACTTTAACCTTCGATGAGAGCCTGCAACGGTATCTGTACTCGGAAAAAGGTATGCAAGATCTTTTCACCCCTTTTCTCTTAAATGGTACTCAAAAAAACCAACGCAAGGGTCAATTTAGTGTGCAACATAAACCACGCCCACTATAACATGACTGTACACAGTGAGGCCATGAAACCAGTGGAGCTGGAAGTGGTGCCAAGTTGGCATGTTAGCCAGTGAGCGACCGCAGCCAGTCGATTGTGCGCGTGTATGACACGGTATTAAACGTACTCTTCCAACCCTTGGGATCTGAGTGACTTGCCTCCGAAAATATCCTCCTTGAAAGAATCGCCCAGCAGAGGTTTAGCTGGATGCCGTACTTAAGGTAGACTTTGTAATGCGTGCGCTTCCACTGACGACTGAAGGCTATCTCTTCTTAAACATTTTAGCCCACTTCACGCCTTGGTTCGATCACGTGGCCGAGTACTGGTCTGAGCGGCACAGCCAGCAGTACCTCCTTCTGAAGTACGAGGACATGAAGGCGGTAGGTCAGCCATGTCGAGTAGATTTTCGATGTGTGGGAAAGCACTGCGATAAACATACATGTTAAAGTGATACTATGCCGTTTACTGCATTGATCCACACAAGCTTTCATGCAGTTTTGGGGGGCTTGATTTCCACAGGACACGCGTGGAGCTGTCATTCAGATCGCCGACTTTTTAGGCCGCGTCCTTTCGGATGAGGTGATCGACAAAATTGTCGGCTTGGTTACCGTGAAGAGCATGAAGGAGCGGTACAACGTTGCTGGAGAGCTGGCGGCACCAGGAACAGGGATGAAAGGCAAAGTTGGCGCCCCCAACCTCATGCGAAAAGGTAGATACTAAATGTTTCATCACTTGCTGAAACATGATACATGTATAGGTCTATGTCATGTAGGCCTATGCATTTGCGGTATAAGGAACTACTGACTTTGCTCATGACTTTTGCAACACATTGCAGGTATTGTTGGAGATTGGAAGAACACCTTTACTGTTGCACAAAACGAGAAGTTTGACGAATACTACCGAGAAAAGATGGCTGGTTTGAATCTAAAACTGGACTTCTTGTAAGACGAAAAAAGTCGTCCGATAGAGCTGTCGACTGAAGGAAAGAGAATATTTCCATTTTTGAAGGACACGTTCGACCAAAAGCTAGAGTTTACCGCAGCACCACCACTGTTTTACTATTAATCAGTTTTGGTAATGACACCAAGGATTCCTCAAAAACGCCGAGGCACTGTTGCTCACAAGAAACCTGTAGAGAGGAGACAATGAGAAGCAGTTATAAATTTAGAGGAGGGAGGAAAACCCCAAATAACATTCTGCTAAAAAAAAAAATCAGGTAGGGACAGAAAACCCAATATGGACTGAGCCAGGATTCGAACCCGGACCTCAGAGGTGGAAGGCAAGGAAAGCGGAACCACTACACCAACCTGACAACCTTGTGTAACTGCTCCAGTATTTGTATACGTACGTGTACATGTTGGTTCACGCGCTGGCTTTCGCGCTAATGTCTTTTTTATAATAGCCTAGATATGCACATTTGTGCACGTGACTTATTCATGTCAATACACTCAGTATGCACAGACGAGGTCAACTTCCAGATAAAAGATGGGTGGCAAATTTACCTTTAAGATGATATTTCTTCCTTTATCAATGAAACGCGTGATTTTGTCGAATGAACAACACTTCATCCAGATCGGTATAAGGCCCTTCTCACAGCACTGATATAATTGTTGTTTTGTATTACGGCAAAAATGATTACTGATTTTGTGCAGTGAGTATTCTGAAACGAATTTAGAAACGTCAGTTCGGGTCTTCTTTCTTTTTTGTTATATTCACGTTCTGGAGTCCTGTTTGCTATTTTCCTGACTGCATCGTGATTTTTCTTACTCACAAAACAGCCGTCATGCAGTATTTTACTATTCACCCTTTGACACAGGTGCTTTTGCAGAGCTCCTTCTAATTTAAGCGTAAAGGAGTCAGGGTCGTAATCGCGTTCGCGTACGATTTGATCGACCAGACAGGTGCATCCCACTGATACAATGGATAGGCAGCTCAGCAATATCTGCCTATAAGTGAATAAGCCTATTGCGAGTTCAATTTGAAAACATTTGGTACACTTCGCTTATTTCACATGAACATAACAATTCGAATTCCCCAGACTAAAGACACCGTTGCTATACCTCGTGATTGGGGGTAAACTTTTGCGTAGCGACCACCATCTCTGGAATGGACAGGTTGCTTTGTACCCTCCTTATCTATTGAAAGCAGTGTATTGATGCAAGGCGTCTCTTGCGTAACTAAGCATTTTGAGAACTTGGTGTGCCAGATTTTATTTAAAGCTTACTCACAAATGGCTTATTGAAGTGACCACGCGGCCATCTTAGCCTGAATATTCAATACAATGGCCTCCGACCTCAGTTCATTCAAAGTGCATTCATGCACAGCGCTAAAGCCGGTGACTTGGAAAATGCCATTGTATTGACTGGCCTAAGACGGCCGCGCAGTCCCTCCATGTATCCAGTGTATAGGGATCAGTGGTGCATCCTCAGCGCTCCCCAGGCTTTGTATCTAAAGGAGCCGGGATTAAATTCAAGTACATGTAAAAATCTGTCCGAAAATTCATGTACGCAGTCTTGTGCCATGTGGTAATACCCACCCCTAAATGATGAGGAAAGGTGTTCTCCAACAACCTGCACATAGTCAGAGAGGTAGGTAGTGAACATTCTGACAAATTTCCACTGTCTTATCAAACGGGGCGGATGGCAATAGGAGGAAGTCGCCTGGCATAGACTATACCCAGCAAGAAATGAGACCGAGGAGTACCCCCTCAACATGTCCAATCCCTTTACACATTCCAGACTATTGTTACTTAACACATTCCCCCAAGATGTCTGAAAGGAATTCCCCAGATTCCTGCGAGACAATGACCAACACAAAGCATGGGGGTTCTCTCCGTCTCAAACCTTGCTGCCTTGCTGTATATGACATATGTCAGGAAATCGTGTTCAGTGAACATCATGAATACTTTAAAAATCGATATTATGTTTTCCAATGATCGTCCATCCGGACGATCGTTTGAGAAAGTTTTGAAATTTATGTTTTCTCGAAGATGACAGCATTCCGGTCAGAAACATTTCACCGATTGTCTGACACTGTTATTTCTTACAGCCAAATATTTAAAGGTATTTGGACAAACGTGAACTTTATCAGGCATAAACTAATATGCCTGGTATTTTCATGTTCGAGCATGTTAACAACCTTCTTCCCCTATGAGCCCTACGTTGCACCAAGAGAGGGCGCACTTTTCAGGCTCTTTAGGTCAGAACTATACTTCGATGATTCACAAAGGACTATCAATAAATTCACACGTTTACGACACGTCACTGCCAGTAAAATAAATCTCCAACCCTCAACATGGCTCGTTTCAACCGATGAGGGGGTGCTTTCACTGCCGTTCATTCTGTTCACATCCACGGCACTAGAACTTGTCACTATCTGTTTGTTTTGCCCCTTGCACTGAAGTCTTATTCCGTCAAATACACTGCTCTTCAGTGTTCGCCGACTTTCGAATATTTTAAGTTACAAAATAAATTTGAGGCAAAACAAATTGCAGCTTAAAAATGTATCGCCTCGGGACGTTGGGTGGGGGATGCTTGTCACTAAGAGGCTCAATTGGTGGTCACTCACGGTAGTTGACACAGTGATTTAATGCCTGGAACTAGTTATTGGCTTGACCTTAACATGTTAGTAGCTCCGGAGTGAAGTGCCGGTCACTTTTGCTTGAGCAGCCGTGGTGTTTGCTTGGCAAGGAGATAAGTGTGTCTTTGTTGCAAAATTTGTTTGTTAATTTTGTGGTGTTTGCTAATTGTTAAGTGCGGTAGTCACATGAGGGCGCTATTCATGTTGTCCATGAATCTCTCGGTACGTTGCCGTAGAGTAATCTTGGTGTTTTGGGCATGCTATGCGGACACGAGAGATAGTGCCAGGTTTAATAATGCATTCATTTATAAAATGTTAATGTCTTGGTTATGTCGGTTACAGATAAATGCAAATAGGTAGATATTTAATAGTTCAGATCGATTAATAGAGGGATTAAGTTGCGATCAGTTAAGCTCCGGTGCTCATGAATATACGTGTAAATTGGTTGTTCGCGCCACAACCTTGGATCGCTTCCAAAACTTCTTGATAACTTTGTAGTCGTCAGGTTCAAGGCCTGGAATGGTCCTGTGGATTTGCTGAATTGTACCAGCAGGGTTGGGGGCCCTAGGCTAGGGGCAGATTGGCTACATCGACTGGCGATTTACATGTATATAGCGAGTTATATAATAGCTAATATAAGGTCATAAAAGTGGCTGTATGTAGCAGGGTGCAAGTTGAATGTCAAATTTGCAGTGTGGTGTGCACTTACGTGTACCTCCACCTTTGCTATTGTACATGTACATGCACAATATATTATGCATGTACATGTTACATCGTAAGTTACATGTAACACCAGCAATACTCTTCATTGATCATGGAAATTGGTATTTAATTTAATTTATGGAACCAAAGATTCAGGTTTGTTTAAATTGATAATTTTGTACTGGCATGTCTTTTCATGAGCAAAGTGGAGATCTCCAATAAACCAAAATTTGAGAGTGACACAGGAACCCCAAAATTTGGCCTCACCGCCTCACTTTCTCTCGTCACCGGGAATTACACTACAATATGTTCATGAAAATTGGTTAGTTTTGCCTTCTGTAGTTTCTAATTACTGTTTGAATTTGCATATCGAAGGCTTAGTGCCGCGCCCGTGCATTCCAAGGTGATTTGTCGGTTCATTTGTTTTAGACGGAAACATATATTGCCAATTGTTTTTTTTATATTTTACTGGTATTGCCGTTCTGCGTCACCAGCTTCGGGGGGGTTGGGGAAACTATCTCCGTAAATTGCTGAGTAGCAATGCTTGGATTGTGTCACCACCTTCGGGCAGGAACAACCTGAACTGTATCAAGTTCAATAACGGCAGCTCAGACCAATTCACAAAGTTAGAATGTGAGTATCCACCTGTCTCTAAAATCGGTTCTCTGGTCAGGTTCATGCGGGGATAATACATTCTGTGGGATGTTTTAAGAATACCCTACAAAAAGACACCTCTTCTCCAATTATCTGAGAGAGTTTCTTATCTTTTGTTCCTCTAAATGTTTCAAGTGGTCTTATTTTAAGTTTTCAGTACTTTTCAGCCAGCACTGCGCTACACATGTCAAAACACTCTGTTACCTTCCTCGACGTGCGCGTCCAGATCTGTGCACGGAAACTTGGCACAGCCGTGTATCACAAACCCACAGATTCCCAAAGCTACCTGCAGTACCAATCGTCTCACCCCCTCAAGTGCAAGAACTCCATCCCTTACTCTCAGGTTCAGTTCGGACCCCTCGTTCTTGACGCGGGTTTCATGTTCTCGCGGTCGAACGGCAGGAACAGGACTCAAGAACATTGCCAGTTCCCGGGACAGGATCACACACCACCTCCTTGTCAGGGTTTACAAGAACACACGGAAAAACTCTTGAGATTTTGATTTTTGAACAGCCGCAAAGCCGGAGACAATGGGATAACAAAAATAACAATAATCATTTTCCATAGCGAGGAAATGGATGTTCCTTTTTAAAATTGAATAGAAAAATAATTCAGCCCAGCTTTATAAGGTTTACTCTGAAAGAACGCACATGGATGCCGCATGCAACAACCAGCGATAACCGGCTGTACGTTCCCGGCGTTCGAGCGGCCGACTAACAAACAACAGATCGAACGATTTGACAACGTAGAACAAGCCGCCCGAACTCAGCCTCGGTTTCTTCGACTGCGTAGGATTTGTAGTAGCGATGCGGAGTTCTCTGCGCGTGGGAAGAAAATGCTAGATTTCTTTCATCAGCGCGGTTACCCTCCGGCTATCACAGACGCTGCCTTCAATCCCGCGCGAAACGGCTCTGAAACCCACCGGGCTCAAGCAACTTGATTGCGTCCCCCTCGTACTCACATACCACCCTCGAAACATCCGGGTACGTAATGTTCTTCACAAACATTTTCGTAGACTCGGAAATGATGCAGCCACAACTTCCATTTTCATCGAACCCCGGTTAATTTGCGCGTTTAGGCACGATCGAGCTGTCGGGGACATGGTTGTACGTTCCCGGTTAGATTCCGTCTCGCCGTCAAAAGCAGGCAGCAACTCCCCTTGTCAGCGCCCCAGATGTAACACCTGCCCCTACATAATTAAAAGCCCGTCGGTCGTTGGCCCCCCCGCGGTAGCTGCAGCATACGGGGGCATCATACATGCGTTACTAGTAATGTGGTTTATTGCATTACATGTCGTCGCTGTGGTAAACTGTACATCGGAGAGACCAAGCGTCGCCTTGGTGACAGCTTCGCGGAACACTTGCGCAGTGTACGCCAACAAACACCTTGTCTCACTGTTGCGCAGCACTTTTGCGCACCGCTACATTCCCTCGGTGACGTAGGCGTCTGCATTCTGCGGAAAGCGTCATCCGACGTACAGCGTAAGGAACTGGAGCAGCGCGTCATTTTCGAACTTGGAACGCACCAGGGGGGAGGAACGTGGACTTTTCTGCGTTCATTCAGAACTGGCTGTCCGAAACGGTTGTCTAGAGCTAGGTCCACGGCTATTGTCTACGGCGCCCATTTTGAAATGCTCTCTAGAGCTAGCTAGAGCTACGGCTACAACGTCATCAAAAATCTAGTCAAATGAAGTGTTGTCTTGATGTGGCACGCCAAACGTCAAAATGGTGAGCGATCACAGTGGTAGTGCCACTGTGAGTGATACGTGTGACAGCGGGAAAAAAAGAATATGGACGACAGAAGACATATGATTATTTAGACTGGTCTGAAAAATTCTAAGTAATTTCTCGTACAACGACTTGGTATTTTCCTTCCTACAACTAGGTCTAACGTTACAAGAAGTAATTCAACCAGGCCTGGGGCCTAGGCCCTAATTCATAAATTGGAGTTTTCTCAGTAATGTTTCTGATTTAGCGAGTTCAACCAAACCAGGTCAGTTGACGAACGTAGGCTATCTAGAGAAGCGTGTGAAAAATGACTGCAAAGTTTGCATTCTCATGAATAGTTTTTGTTGCTCAAAACTTTGAAATGATTTCTGGAGAGCTGGAGGACGCTATCCCAAGAACTGTGGGGTCCGACGTCCGCTTAGCAAACTTGGGACCCCCACAGTTTTGGGGGTAGGAGGACGCCACTTGAAATCCCGTGCACAAATCCTATGTACATGTACATGTAGCTCTCTCTTCTAATCATGCTAATATTAGAACAGGATCCCCAAATTTACAATCCCACCGAATTAAAGTATGACAGAAAAAAATGTTGCATCCTGGCTCCACTTCAGCAGTTGTGTACAAAGTCGGTAATTGTCTGTCAGTCCAGAATTTGTGTCTTTCCAGCATTTCTGTAATGACTGACTTTTATTGAGTTGATGTACGATGAGAAAAGTGGAGTCAGGATGCAACATTGTTTCCAAGTATGACAATGAGACGGGTCTGAAAAACTCTTTTCAGTGATTTCTCCATTAATTTGATTGAACGACTTGGTATTTTCCATCCTAAATTGAACTTTTCTGCAGGCCGACATGCTTCGCCGTCGGTAATAGATAGGGTTACCGCACCTGGGCTAGGGTCACTGCATGTACTATGTAGCCAGGCAGTGTAGGGAGCCTGCTAACCAGCCAACATGGCGCACTTCGGCATTCACCTGATTGCCCTCACACAGCGGTGCCAAACCTCTTAACACTCATTTGGTTATGACCCCCTGCGTCATGTATAACGTCACGTTAGAGGGCATTTTATACTTCTTCCAGTTTTTCAGGGATAGGCTTGAGTTAACATTTTGTGCATTCATTGTCCTTAGGCCTACTTTTAATTGAACAATTTGTGCACTTAAGAGTCAAACCACTACTACCTACTACTAGTGCTGAGAACATAGTCATCATGATGAACACAGAAAACCTAACTTTTCCATCCTCCATCATGGCTGTACTCCCCTGTGTTAGATTTTGAGTAGTGGGGGTATTAATGTTACTATTAACGTACATGTACTCCCCACAGATGCAATAGGTTGGAAGAACATAATGTGACAGGTTTGATGCTTATCAAACGATTAAGTCTAATGATTGTGTCTCTTTCTTAATACGTTTTCTTCAGTAGGGACATAAGGACTGAAGATGAGTGTCGCACTTTATCAACCTTCGGAAAAATCATGAAGACAAATTCAAAAAAGGCAAACAAGGTGCCACCCGTGATGCTTTAATGTATGTTAGCAAGAAGGATTCAAGGACTTTTATGTACACATGAAGATCTGCATTGAATCTCTTAGTTTGCTTGAGTATTAGAGTCTTCAATTTTCGTTTCACCCTATGAACTCCCTAGAAACAATCATTTTGAAATTTGGGAGTGTTGACATTTAGTGTGATAATATCTCTGATATAGGTTTTCCTCCACGATGACAATCTTGCTAGTAAGCACTGTGAGAGAAGTAATTGCATGTAGCAAGCTTACATCTATGCAGTTCTGGAAAGCATCTATGTCTGAAAGGATTTTCATTTGTATTTAGTGTTTCCTAATGAAACTTCTGAAGGGAGTGAAAGAAATTTACTTGATAATCAACTTCTCATCATTGACATATGCATGTCCCAATTATTGTACAGAGTAATACTGAAGGAAGTGGACCTGCTGGAGAAAGCTGTCCCCAGAACAGGCAAGAAGTGGACAAATTTGACCCAGAAGTTTAAGGTAAAGTATCTTTGAAATTTGTCTTTGCTGGTAGAAAGCAGGACACTCAGATTGTACTGACCATGCATGGTTGGTTACCGGTGAAAGTAGTAGGGCTAATGTGGAGCACGATGTACCACTTTACAGAATTGTAGAAAGCTGGTAGAAAGCAGGACACTCAGATTGTACTGACCATGCATGGTTGGTTACCAGTGAAAGTAGTAGGGCTAATGAGGAGCACGATGTACCATTTTACAGAATTGTTTTCAAAGAAACTGATGTTCATTTACAACAAAAAAAGTCAATATATGTAGCCTGCTGCAAAATGGTATAGTGCCCTTTTGTGATGAACGAGACAGCGCGCCTGTTCGCTCACTCGCTGGGTCAGCAGGAACCACGGTTTGATCAGTTATTGTTAACTAAAGAAAAAAACATTTTCTTGTTGTTTTAAACTTGGTGAATGTTGTTAGTGATTTGATGTTACAGCGTAACCACTGAGCACACAAGCCTTAGGGTCCAACGGCTTACACAATTAGTCATATAAGGCAGCTATTTCAAAATGACTATACTTGCTTGATGTTTAATTGGTAAGCATTTTTGGCCTTGTGTATGTGGAGACTACACAAGAGCTTAAATGTAATGGTGCTCATTAAGGCGGTGAGCCAGGCCTATCTGTGCAGCAATGCGATGTCTGAGGGGTTCAGCAAATAAACACGTGTGCCCTATCAAGATCCAATGGCTCTGCAACAACTTGTTCAATGATTGGATGGTTTTCATTGTCTGCCTCGTCCAGCTCCTCTCCCCACTCATCTCCAGCTAAGATGCAAACATTGTGCATAATTGCACAAGCTACAGCAAACTTTTGGTGCTAGATATGGAGAAACCTGAAAGAACACACATTAAAGATTTTTTATTACTACTATTACTTATTAAAATGTTAGGTTGAGTGCGGTTATACACTGGGCCTTGTGGGGTACCGGAACGATGGGAAGTACTCCCACAAGGCCAGTTTTTACCTTTTGGGGTCCACAAGAATTTCATGAAACTGATATTTGGAAATAACTTAAAAAGGGGAAATTTTTGATGGGTAAAAATCGGTCGAAAATTGGCATGGATAAGCTGTATCAGCAAGAATGTATAATAGCCTTCTGGTGGATAATCCTGCCGACGGTATAATGGACTACATTTCAGCACACGAGAATCGCGGACAGAGCCTGGGTACCCGGCAAAAACATCAAGAAATACTCCCCTGTGATCACAGACTGCTTGCATGTTAATTGAATGAAAAAACTTGCGGTTGAGGTAGTCCTCACGTCTTGATCCAGGGGGCATTATCTTAACATGAGTTCCATCTGTCCTACCAGCAGCCATGTTGATGACATCAGTATGGGCCCCCTGCAGGAACCCTTCTGCGATTGCAGGAACTTCATCTTTCCGAGGCAGTTTTATGATGGTTTTGATGGCACCCAGTGCTCTCTTCAAAACTTTGTGAACAATATCGCAGATGCTCGATCGGGGAATGCCCGTGGCTGGATATACTACACGGTAGGCTGACCCGCAAGCAAGCCAGAACAAGAAGCTTAAGAGTTGGATTTGGTCATCCCACCCATGGTGACTTTCTGTCGAGATGACAGTGAGCAACTTAAAGAAGGATGCCTGTGTGACACGACAGTGTTTCTTAAGTTGTTCCGGCTCTCTCAACAAATCCAACAACAAATGGACTCGTGGCGTGCGATAAGGTTCTCTTGGTAAAATCTGACAAGGAAATATGCAAACACGCTTATCTGAAAGTATAGTTAGGTCCACATTCAAATATCTAACTACGTCCTGCTGTTTGCAAAGCATGTGAAAACATGTTTATCTGAAAGTATAGCTAGACCCAAATTCAAATATTTAAATATGTCCAGCTGTTGTTTGCAAGGCAGGATTCATTGGGGCAGGACTTTCACTTCAAGCTAAACATATAGCTCATCAGTTCTCCCTTCATCCTTGTAATAAATTAGTATACATGTATGTTGCCACCTGGCCAGTCAAATGAAAAAGACTGTGAGATGTTGATGTGCACCAAGAATCTTTCAATCTTTCAATATCTAGTGATGTACTTTTCTATCATTTATTGTGATAATGCACTGAATTGACGCTAAAAAAGTTATAACAATATCTATCATATCATCATCCATCCTGAATATTGATCGCCGGCCGGTGGTAAACAAACATTGCGCGACGAGCAGACGATAATTCGGTTACGTCATAAAAATAAACGCTAATAACACTTGAGGGCGCAATACGTAGCCGTACCTGCGTCCGAATTCGATATGGCTAAGTGCTTCCCAAGACGTAGTCGTAGCTGTAGACCTAGACCATAGCGCTAGGCAACCGTTTCGGACACGGCCACTGAATCTGCTTGCCCCAAAGCAGGTACTCAGTTACCGAAAGCTCGGCAATCACATATTTCAGAGCACTGATTTGATATTATATATTCTGGTTTTGTGCTCTTTTTAGACCTATTATTGAATATGCTTGTCCGGTTTGGTTCCCTGGTCTGGTTTCTTTGTAGCATTCGATAGAAAGTGTTCATTGTCGTTTCACTCGATCTTGTTTAGGTTTACCCCGTAGACACATACATGGATTTCACATTAACAACTTAGATTATACTGCTCGTCGCATCCAACTGGGTTTACTTCCCTTACTCAATAGGCTGAACTTTTTGTCAGTGGCTTTCATTGCTAAACGTCTGTACAATAGGTTTCATGTTAATGTTGAAAGTCTTTCCGTAGTCAATACTAGGCATCTTGACAGGGTCAAGTTTCTTCCCTTTTCCTCGTGTACACAAGCTTTTTATGACTCATTATTTGTTAGATTCCCAAGATTGTGGGACACTTTACCCATAGATGTCACAACAGAAATTGTTTTCAGTTTTAATTCTTTTATTTCAAAGTTAAGAGACCATTGGCTGTCTCCTGAGGCTAACATTGTTTGATGCCATAATATTGGTCCTGTATTTTTACTCTACATTCCATTGTTTATTTATCTAGTTTTATTTTTGTGCGTTTTTGTAGTTTAAGTCAATTTTTTTATCCATTTTTTTCTTGTATGGCATGCCATAATCAGGAGGCATCATAGAAATATTTCTATAGGGCCTAAATCCCGAATTTGGGACTGATGGTTTCCAGTTCAGGGTATTTCTTTCACAAAAAGCCCCAAATTGCGGGCCTTTAGGGGGCGGCTACATTCAGAAATGTACATTCCATTGTTTATTTATGTAGTTTTACTTTTGTGCATTTTTGTATTTTAAGTCATTTTTTTATCTAGTGTTTTTCTTGTATTTGTTGACAGTTTTATGGAGACCCTCTCGACAGTGATTGAGTTCGCTTTTAGGCTATCCGTCAGGGGTGTCAGCTCAGCAAATATTGTTCCAATATGTTGATATGTATTGGTTTTTGTATTCTGTGTTGGTTTTTGTACCCTGAAAAATAATAAATGAAATGAAAGGAAAAATTTTTGTCGATATTCTGATCACGATGTTACGCAGCCTTCTACATTACTCGGTTACCGAAGCTCAGCAATCATATTACAGAGCATTGATTATGCGCAGTAGCGTATTTGTTTGCTGGCTCAAAATGACGTCACAATCGTATTCTATTTATAGGTTCGAGGTTCACGCGCAATTATATATGATCGTGAGAAAAGGCTTGGTCAGCTGAGCTAGACGTCTTGTTCTGCACCGCCATCCTTGTTGATTTCTACACGTACACCTGCGTCGAGCAATCTGTAATCGTCAAAATGTCTTCACCGCCTCAGGCGAAAATTCCAGCCAAGATGGACATTGTGTGTGTACAGGGCGTGTGGTGGCCAGAGTTAGTGACCGAACAATCCCTAAAGGCCGTTAAAACTTTCGAGGTTAGAGACGATGACGTGTGGGTCGCAACATGGCCGAAAGCAGGTAGGGACCTATAGTACCTCTTTCATTGTTCGCCGCGCGCAACCGTGGACCATAGAGCAAGAAACGGACTAATGAAACACGTTTTCACGCCTTCACGGTACGACCCTTCCTCTTTTTAATGACCTCAGCAGTTGACCTCCACTAATATTGGATATCAAGGCGTTAAGGAGGGTATTTTGTCGCCCGTTGCAGAGAATAATATTCGCCTAGACCCCTCAGAGATATCCTAATTAGGCTGCTTGAATAGGGTCCCGATAATATCCCCCATCCCGGTGCTATCTGCAACTCTACGCACCCCCCCCCCTGACCCCCCCTCGGGCAACCCAACTGCAGAGAGGATAAAGATCGAATGTACCCTTCCACTAAAAATATCGATACAGGGCCGCCTGCATGGTACGGGCTGGTAGGTGTCACGACCATTGCCGATAACAGATCAGTGACGATGGGTAGCGTTTCAAATCTGCTTGTGTGCACACTGTGATATATGAAACCTTGGGACTGCTGTCGAGTATATATTTTCAAAACGTGAAACATTTCTATGAAGGACATTTTTTGTCAAAGTCTGTTTTTATGTAGTATTTTTTCTCAACTTTATTTTTACGAGATATATTCCCCAAGTTCGTTTGAGATGCATATTCCCCAGTTTGTTCTCGTAAGATCTGTAAATGGAAACATTGTTTCCATTTTTGGAAAAATGATCGTCGGTGTGAGATTTCTTTTTCGAAGTACGTATGAGGAGATTTTTCTAGTTCGTTTTTGTGAGTTATATTTTTGAATTTAATTTTTGTGAGAAATTAATCCAAACATAACAACAAATATCTCCTGAAAATTTAATTCGGAAAAATATATCCCATAAAAAACAAACTTCATCAAAAAATGTCTCGTAAAAACGACTTGTTTCCCAAAATAGAAACAACGTCTCAAAACATAGATCTCATTAGAATGAACTTGAGAATGCATGTCTCGAACAAACGAACTTTGGAAAAAAATTATGTCTCGTACAAACAAAGACGGCAAAAATACACGGACGTATATTTAAAAAAATCTGGACTCGCAATGCCCTTAATCAGCTTATAGAGATCATTGAATCCACTCGCGGCCATTTTACCGAGCGGAATACAAAGCTTGCCCGACAATGCCCGCCTTTGTTCTCCCCAATAGAAGCGAGCCAACCCGCACATTTGTATTCGGCTCGGTAAAATGGCCGCTGGTAGGCTTCTATTTCACACAAAGGCGTTTGCAAGTCCAAGTTTTTTAATACGTCCGCGCAAAAATGTACCATCTGAAAACGGACTCCGAGAAAACATACTTGTACTTCACTCTGAAAATGTTTACTCAATTAATGCACTACATGGCTTTCGTCTTTATAAACTACTGCTGATGAGTGCTGCAAACACGTCGCAGTGTAAGCTGTAAGGGGGGTATTCTTTCCTTCAATTCGCCCATCGCCTGGCTTTACACGGAGTTTCCGCTGAAGACTCTTCCTTATAGAATGTTTAGTCCTTTGAAGAAGAACAGTTTTCTTCAGCAGTGGAGGATTGGAGAGGAGGAAGAGAAACGAGTAATTATTTGGACTGAACTGCAGTCATTTGCAAAAGTTTAAGACCACCTGGAAATGAATTAATATTTGTGTTACTGGTCCTGCATTGTATTGTCTCATTGAATGATTACATGTACATTACATGTTTCTACAGTAGTCCGTAACATCAGAGTCGTGCCATGAGCACATTTGAATGATATGTTTTGCAAAGGCAGGTCTTGTATGATATTTTGGGCACACTATAAGACAGTAAACGTGTCAAATCATGAAATGAAGTCAAATATTTGTTCAACCAAGATGTTAAGATTACGCACTGAAAATCAACATAAGTTGCCGTAGATAATTAATTTGAGTTTATTATATGTGGTTGTAAACTTGTGCAAATGATCATACTTTAAGGGTGTATGGTGTCCTTTTGAGAATAAATTCATCAATGAAATTTTTTTCAGGTACTCATTGGGTTGCTGAAATCTGTCACCTTATCTTTCACAATGGTGACGTGGATAAGGTTGATAGAGCGCAGCAGCCGATGCCATTGGAGTTTGACGTCAAACCAGGTGACAATAGACTCCCCCGCTACAGGGCTGCGCCATCTTGGAAGTCTCCTCGCGTTCTGGTCACCCACGTTCCCAAGAGATTCCTCCCGGACCAACTGCTGGGGGGCAAAGGAAAGGTTTGTGTATACGAGGTTGATAAGCACCAAGTTGGTTCGGGATCAAAGTGTTAATGGATATTATATGGAAGTTACCTACGCAGGCAAACTAACATATCTTAGGCCCTGTGAGGCCCGGTAACCTCTAGAGTAGTGGACTTTAATTCTGTCTTTTGGCACGAGCCTATGTAATGCTACTATACGCAGTTGGCTGATCTCCTTAATTGCTATATGTAACACCCACGTGCATAATGAAAGTTTAGTATGAATCTCTCAGAAAACCTATGTCGGCCTAGACTACAGCTCTTTGGGGGTGCATGCCTCAAACTAATGATCTGTTAAATTTGGACACCAGCTTTGTGCATGCATAAATACGCCTGCCGAGTTTGGACATGTACAGGTACTCAGTGGCTTCTGTCTGATCTGCAGTTGTCAAGCAAAGGTGTTCATAGAGAGAGATGCCGCGCCATGAGTGAGTCAGTTATTGGACCCAAAATGGCGGATGCATCAGTGCACACGGACGAGTAGCGCTGAGTAGTTGCATACTGTGCTGCACACATACATGTAGGCCTACCCAACAATGGTTCCAAAGTCTGAAATTGGCACTTATACCTTGGTCACAACATGTACAAAGCGTTTACACTCGGAGAGCCTCACCTTTGCACTTATTAGCAATTGGCTTCCAGATATAGCCAGTGACTTGCATATTCTCTTCAGGGTGCAATGTCCAATGCAAGGAAAATTCTCCGCCAGGCCGAGGCACTTAAAAAGTACCTCAGCCCACAGATTCTTTCGAAAAGAGGGGTCTGTGTGGGCCAAGAAATTGTGGGAATGTGTAAGTATGGCCCAGGATCATCTCTTTGGATTCAGGGGCACCCATCTGGGGGCAAACCAGACAAAACTGTGATTGAAAATTTGTCAGAGCTTGAGAAAGGTGAGGGATGTCATTTGAAAAATGGCTGCTGAGATTGGGAACATTCACTTTTTGGGGGGGGGGCGAGTTTGTTTGGGGCGGATAATTAAAAAATTCATTGGTTTACCTACTAAAAATTGAAAATCAAATGAAATAAGAACGACCAAACAACACATTGTTTTCGTTTGAGAGGCCTCAGGGGCTTCAGTTGCCTGCCATGAGGTTCTTTATTTTTGTTGATTTGACACTATTTTCAATAGAGCTTGAATTAGTTCAGTGCACCTTTAAGCATGCATTCGTGAGCAGCGCTACGCAGCACAGAAGAGCTTGGAAAGGTCAAAGTTCCGACGTTTTGAATGCTGTCACAATAGTCTGGGAAAAGTTTTGCATGACGCGAAATATCTGCGCCAGTGACTAGTAATAGTAACATGTTATCCGACCATGGGTACTCCCCCAAAACACAAGACTTTTGAAGTGTTTTGAGAACCGCTCTCTCACCTTTTTTTAATGCAAGACGAGAGACAGTTGCTGAACTCGTTAAGTAAAGTGGCTGCACAGTGGCGTGTCCAGGTCTTATAGGTCTTTAAGAACAACACAAAGTGAAAATTTTCCCCCAAACGACGGTGCAGTTTTATCACCGGTAGAAAATTGTTCAACTTCCCATCGGGCGGCACCGTAGTAGTATTTACGAAAGCTCATGCTTTCATATCCTTTTAAAAAAGAACAAAAGCAAAGACGGAGAAGACGGCAACATGTCGGGGGGGGCAGCCCCCTGACCCTGGAGACGCCGCCGTTACTGCCACCTGATAAAATGGAAGTGTTGTCTTTCTGATTAAGGTGATCACTGTCATCCGAAATCTCAAGGATTCGCTGGTTTCCAATTACTACTTTGTTAAAGGATGGGACCCGGAATCCACTCTGACCTTCGAAGAGTACCTGCAGAAGTATCTGTATTCAGGACAAGGTACGCGAGATCTTTTCAACTTTTCATCATTCCAAAATGTGTTCCATAAAAACAAAGAATCATGAGGTTTAGAAACAAGCATCAACGTAGGATGCAGCTTACGCCACACCCACTTCCAGACGGTGAGGCAGTGGAACCACTGGAACCGAAAGTTGCGGAAACTTGGCGTATTAGCCAATGAGTGCTCGTAATCAGTACACCATGCGCGTGTGTGTGACGGAGTCCCCAGCTCCAACCCAGTGGGCTCTGGCTGACTTGCCCTTGATGCTCCCGTGGAAAACAGGGGTTTATTGCTTGAATATCAAAAATAATTGTGCGTGCTTCTGTCGTCTCTTTTTTTTCTGCAACATTTAGTCTCCTTCACGCCTTGGTTCGATCACGTGGCCGAGTACTGGTCTGAGCGGCACAGCCAGCAGTACCTGCTTCTGAAGTACGAGGACATGAAGGCGGTAGGTCAGCTTTTTGTGCATTTGCTCAGAACACATAAAACACTTACTTTACCATTCATTATATTGAACCCATGCAATTACTTAACAAGCTTTGCCTCAGTTTTTTTGCTTGATTTCTACAGGACACGCGTGGAGCTGTCATTCAGATCGCCGACTTTTTAGGCCGCGTCCTTTCGGATGAGGTGATCGACAAAATTGTCGGCTTGGTTACCGTGAAGAGCATGAAGGAGCGGTACAACGTTGCTGGAGAGCTGGCGGCGCCAGGAACAGGGATGGCAGGCAAAGTTGGCGCGCCCAACCTCATGCGAAAAGGTAGATACTAAATGTTTCATCACTTGCTGAAACGTGATACATGTACATGCATAGGCCTATGTCATGTAGGCCTATGCATTTTGCGGTATAAGGAACTACTGACACGTGCTCATGACTTTTGCAACACATTGCAGGTATTGTTGGAGATTGGAAGAACACCTTTACTGTTGCACAAAACGAGAAGTTTAACGAATGCTACCGAGAAAAGATGGCCGATTCGGATCTGAGACTGGGCTTCTTGTAAACACGGACCAAAAAGGTCGTCCTAGAGAGAGCTGCCGACTGAAGGGAACAGAATATTTACACTTTTGAAGGACACGTTCGACCACAAGCTGAAGTTTACCACGGTACCACTTTTTTATTAGTAATCATTTTTGGTAATGACACCAAGGATTCCTCAAAAACACCCAAGGCACTGTAGCTTGCAAACCTGAAGAAACCTGTGGAGTGGAGACAATGAGAAGCAGTCACAGTTTTAGAGGTGGGAGGAAAACCCCAAAGAACATTTTGTGTAAAACCCACAAAATAAGGTAGGGACAGAAAACCCAACGGCGACTGAGCCAGGATTCGAACCCGGACCTCAGAGGTTCAAGGCGAGGATAGAACCACTACCCCGACCTGACAGCCTTGTGTAACTGATGAAGTATTGTCTATTATGCGTAGATTATGTTGGTTCAAGGGCTGGTTTTCGTGCTTATGCTTTTTTATAGATAGACACATTTCGTGCGCGTGGCGTATCGCACTTCGGTATACATGACTTGTACTCGGTATGCAAAGGCGAGGTCGATTCCAGATAAGAGATGGCCCTGTGATTAGCATATTTACCTTTAGTTTATATTTCTTCCGTCATCAATGAAACGCTGTGAATTTTTCGAATGAACAACGCTTCATCTTGACCCGTAAAAAAGGGCCCTTCTCACAGTAATTGCTGTTTTGTATCACGGCAAAAATGATTGCTGATTTTGTGCAGAGAGTGTTCTGAAACGAATTTAGAAACGTCACGTCGCTTTTTTGGTTCTTTTTTTTTTTTTTATTTTCATGTTTTGGATTACTGTTTCCGACTTTTCCTATTGCAACATGATTTCTACCGGTGCCTATACGGGTCTGCACCACTGAACTTTAAATAAAGACTATTATTTTACAAGTCATTGATCCACACCACTGATGTCTTAGCGCCGCGTCGAGTTGCAAAACGGAGAACTCTGCCAAAAAGCTGTAATCACTGTGAGCGCCATCATTCGAGCAAGCAATACACCTGTGCAGTGCACAGGTGCACCAGATGTGCGTGCCTGGCGCAACGCCTGTGCTTGATTAACGTGCACTGCGCAGGCCATAGAGGGTTTGCGTAGTAGCCACCTTACAGGGCAGTTCAAAAGGGTATGCACAAAGGAGGCTTACCGGTGCAACAAAAGAACTGCCCTGTTAGATGGCTACCAGGCAAAGCCTCTATTACTTGCTTTTACGCGTATTCACGGTGGAGTTCTCCATCTTGTGCCGCTATGCGGCGCTATATACAATGTTTGGTCTACATATCGCAAGTGAAATGACTGCAGACACCCACACAGCGCTTCAACAGGGGCACATACACGTCAAGTAAAATCAACAACCCTGTTCAGTGAACATCATAAGCATTTCATAAACAAGTTTTTCAAAGATCGTCCATCCGGACGATCGTTGGAGAAAGTTGTGAAATTTCTGTTTTCTCGAAAATGACAGCAATCTAGGCAGAAAGATTTTACCAGTTGTCCGACGCTGTTATTTTTCTAACTTACAATGAAATATAAGATATTTGGATAAGCATTAACTTTATCATGCATAAACTAACTTCACACAGCTATTTTCATGTACGAGCATAATTATCATTAACAACCTTCTTCACCTATAAGCCTCGAGCCGGACCAAGGGAGGATTTTCCAAGCAGGCTCTCTTGGTCGGAATTGCACTTCTGTGGCCGGTTCACAAACGACAAAGATTAAGAAATGTTACGGGGCCACGTCACTACATGGACCAGCAAATTGAATACCCCCCCGGCCAACATGGCTCGTGTCAATTGGTGAGGGGGTACTGAGGCCTACTTTCGCGGCTGTGTTCATTTGCCGGGTTCACAGCCACGGTGCCAGAACTCGCCACTATCTGTTTTTTCCCGTGCACGGAAGTCCTATTCCCTAAATACCCTGAAATTCAGTTGACCCCGTTCGGGAATATTTTTAAGTCACAAAATAAATTCTGTGAGATGCTTTAAGAACATTTACACAAATCACCTCCTCTTCATTTATCTGAAATAGTTCCGTGTCCTTTATCAGTCCATTTATAACATATTTTTGTTTTTCTGAATGCCCCAAGTGTTCTTATTTCCAAATTGTTGAATACAGAATGCATGTTTTTCCACTCGTTCGTTCGTTTGTTTATTTTGTCTTTATCATTTCAGTGTAGTTTTCTCTGAGTGATTCGTTGTTTTATTGGGCATTTCTAAGACTTTGTCTTCTAAATATGCCTCCATATTGCTCTTTCATTAATTACTTCGACCAGTATAATTCAACCTTATTACTTTGCAACTTTTGGAAGTAAAGTTTGACGTACACAAAATAAAAATTATTAAAGCAGTTTCATTTTTAGATGTTACAAGCGGTGTGTACGAAACCTTTGCTTTCGGTGACCAGAATTAGAAACAATTCGTCTTCACTGCACGCGAAGGGTGCATTCGCTCTGTCCTGTTGATTAATGTGAGCAGAGGGCTGCCCGCACATTACACCAGGTGCGGCAGATGTATACAAGCCCCCTCTTGATGTACGCTCTGGTACTCCTGCCGTTCAAGCGCACAGGAATCGTGTTTACACAAGTAGCTCCTCGAACATGCTCGAACGCACTCCTGGTTCAAAATGACGTCAAACTTCTGTGTTCTATTTACACAATCATGGTTCATATACATTTATACATGATCCCAGGCGAGACTTGGTCAGCCTGAGGTCTGTGCTGCTAAATGCGCGCGTACGTTTAGCAGTCGTCAAAATGTCTTCCCCGCAGGTGCTTCGGGCGAAAATTCCAGCCAAAATGGATAGAGTGTGCGTACAGGGCGTTTGGTGGCCAGAGTTAGTGACCGAACAGTCCCTGGAGGCCATTAAGAATTTCGATGTAAGAGACGATGACGTGTGGGTCGCTACATGGCCGAAAGCAGGTAAGAACTTGATCCTTCATTGTTTGCCGCGAGCAACCATGGGCGAATGAACACTTTTGTACGTCTTCACGGTAAAACCCTTTCTTTTTGTAATGACCTCAACACTTGACCTCCACTGTTACTGGAAATGAGGCGTTAAGGATGACCTATTTTTCTTGCCCGTTACTGAGAACAATATTCGCCCAGACCCCCCCCTCGACGATATCCCAATTAATGTTCTGCTTGAACAGCGTCCTGATGTGTGATATCCCCCATCCCGATATCCCCGTATTCTCATCCAAATATCCTGGCTTTAATCCTAAAATATTCCTTCTCATCCCTCACTCCCTCCTGGTGCAATTAGTGCAACTCTGCATACACCCCAGGGCTGCACCTCCGGCTACCCAACTCAGTCTGACTGCCATTTTAAAAATGTCGATGCCAGAGATTTCGAGAATGAAACCGCAACACTGCGCCGAAAGAACTACATGTACTGTACATGTACACGTACAGGCCCGCCTGCATAGTACAGGCTGGTGAGTGTAGCGACTCTTGCACTTGACCTCCACCGACAACAGATCACCATGACCCCGTTAACTTGAAGCCCGTCTCTATAAACTATCGCTGAGTGCAGAAAACACGTCGCAGTGTGAGGAATAGTGGTATTCAAGTTTGTTTGTATGTGCATGGCGCGATACGTACAGTACATGGGTAGGCCTAGGCATATTGAAGGTTTGCAAAATTTGGGTTTGGCGTGACGATGCACGCAGCAAAGTAGCAACGTAAGTGGCGCTGTTTTCTTCAAAAAACAAAGTTTATTCTCCCCAAATTTAATCCATATTCTTTGCTATTTGAACTTGCATCAATTAAGCGTTGGACAAGTAAGAATTAGTTTTGTTTTTAGGAATACAATTTGGTACGTGGTGTATAAACCTCATTCGTGCCGGTTCCGTGCAAAGTTGCTTCCATACGCGGTCGTAAGAGAGGCCTCTCCGCATTAAGTTAAAGAAGACAGCGCCTGGCGTGAACACGTCATGAAAGAAAAGGATACGTGATACGCACGCCCATTTGCTGTTTACAGAAACTGTCTATTGGTCTTTTGCCCACCTTCCGCATCGTCTGGCTTTACAAGGAGTATTTTAATCCTTAACCGTATAATAGTGTTCTACCCTTTGAAGAAAGAAAGAATTTGAAGAATACTTATCGTCGGGACGTTGAAAAATATGCTCCACTTTTTGAAAATATTTACTTAATGCACTAAAGGGCTTCCGTAGTGACCCGTCACGTCCGTCTTTATAAACAATTGCTGATGAGTGCCGAAAAGCCCATCGCAGTGTAAGGGGGATATCATAGCCATTTCCTAACTTTTCCCATCGCCTGGCTTTACATCGGAGTTTCTGAAGCCTCTTCCCTGTACAATAATTTTGTCCTTTGAAGAAGAATAGTTTTCTTCAGGAGGGGAGGATTTGACAGGAGAAAGAGAGTAATTACTTGGTAATTTTTAAAGAGAGTAATTTATATACTTCATCAATGATGCTTTGACTTTTTTTCAGGTACCCATTGGGTCGCTGAAATCTGTCACCTTATCTTTAATCATGGCGAGGTGGATAAGGTTGATAGAGCTCAGCAGCCGATGCCATTGGAGTTTGACGTCAGACCAGGTGACAATAGACTCCCCCGCTACAAGGCTGCGCCATCTTGGAAGTCGCCTCGCGTTCTGGTCACCCACGTTCCCAAGAGATTCCTCCCTGACCAACTGCTGGGGGGCAAAGGAAAGGTTTGTGCATATAGGAGGTTGATAAGCATCGAATTGGTTCGGGTTGTTTAAGGATACTGTGTTGGTGTTGCTCAGGCAGGCAACTTAACACTAGTCTTATTGGGCCCTGTGAGGTCTATGTTTCTGTCTTTTGCCACGAGTTTGTGAAAATGCTACAAAGCCATTCGCTGAACCCGTTTTTAACTTTGCAATAACATTGATTGATCAAAGAATTAATGCAGCCAACAGTGCTTTGAGGTGTATGCCTCATAGTCATGATCTATCAAATTTAAACAGTTCATCACCAGTTTGTGCATGCGTAATCATGCTGGCCGATGTTAGACATAGACACAGGAGCTTCTGATCTGGGCCCAACTGCATTGCGCTGGTTATTGTAGAATTCTGCGCTTACGAGGCACAGAATCTATTTCATGCGCTTAAAAGGCTTGCGTAGAAATTCTGCGCTTGGTGGCCGATTTGACATTTATAAAAGAGAAAAAGTGGCGATCGATCGGCGTGGGCGTCGGCGTTGCCCCTTTCAAGAAAGAAGACCTCATAAAACCTGTGTCTGGCAAAAATCCTCGTGAAATATTTTCGCCCAAAACAAGTTTGGGCCAGACGCAGATTTAAACCCGAAACAATAATCCCTCTTTGCGAATTTTGTTCAAATTAAAGGGGCCTCAAGAGTTTGTCGCTCTTCAGTGGAGGTTGAGAGGGCAATGTCCATTGCACTAGTAAACGAAGCACATTTTTCTTCGGTTTTACACTTACAGCCTCCATTCTTCCGCACAGCAGACGGCAAACAATTTTTCAGCAGACGATTGCAAAACGCGCATGCGCGCTCATTGGGAAATACTTCCCGCTCACCGCAGCAAGAATTTTTTCGGACATGAAATAGGATCATTTAAGCAAAGAACTTTCTGTTTCCGTAAGCGCCGATTTTTTTTTCGCTTGCGGTAAGCAGCGCCTTGAAATTGGCCCCTGCAGTTGTCATAACCAGAGCTGTTTATAAAGAGAGTTGCCGCGACAAAAGTGTATCAATTATTGGAACCAAAATGGTGGATGCACACTGCACTGCCCATGTGCATGTACTTAATACATGGATCGAACAACCGTTTTGGTTCCAAAGTCTGAAGTTGGTAATAATCTGTCGACAGCCCTGATCACAACGTGCACAATGCACCACAAAGCGTTTACACTCGGAGAGCCTCACCTTTGCACTAAGGCACATTAGCCTTTTAGAAGAAGAAATAGGGGGGCACTACTTGAAGTGGCAAATCTGGAGCAAACACAAACGATTTTGCCCATATACCTCTACAAGGCTAATTACCCTGCCCGTAATCTGTCGTTTAAAAATCTTGATAATAAAAAGCATCGCTATGCAGCACAGAACAGCTAGGAAAGGTCAAAAGTGCCGATGTTCTGAATGCTTTCACAATAAGCTAAAAACAAATTGCGTGTGGTATAGTATTGCAGGATAGTGACATATCGTTTCCCCCCCCCCAAAAAAAAACACACACACACAAATGTGTATTTGCCTGGAACTGGGGACCCCCTATAGTTCCTCTTTTGTTTGTACTTTAACTTTTTTAGAAGATCACCCGTATGTTTGGTACACAGTTGTCAATCGGGGACCCTCTGTCAGTCGGAAACCTTATTGTCCTCTATTGTTCAGGGTCCCCAACTGAATGCAGAAACAAACTCACACAAGTGTGTATTTGCCTGCAACTGGGGACCCCCTATTGTTCCTCTTTTGTT